GTTGGGTTGACAGAGCTGAACAGAACAGGCCACATGGAGTTGGCCCCCATTCAACAAGCAAGATTTTGATACAAACAGCTATTTTTTTCCTTTTTTTTTACTAGACACACACAAACCTGTCTTCAGCTGCTAACCGTAATATATTACTCATTCTTCCTTTCAAATAACGTCATGTTCAAAACCCCAGTGACTGCAGAATATTTACTTGAGGCTGCTACTGCTGGTTTCTCCAGAACTGTTTATTTTTCCATGCATGAGCTCATTACATCACTCTGTGGTTTTTTTAAAGGTTGTCAGGGTAAGCTGGATACAGGCTGGAATCTCTTGCTAACTAAAACCAAATCACTAAGTAGCACAAATGGATTTGGAGATAACCCAACTGTGGGAATGAGGAGCAACCACGGATTCCTTAGTGAAAATGGGGTGCTCCCAAACAGGCAGGCATTAGATTTTTTTCTTGGAAGCAGAATACATTATCAAGTGTTTTCCTAGATGAAGAACCGTAAAAGAATAATCATTTGGACTGTTGCAGGTCAGAATAGGTTGGAGGGAGGAAGGAGGAAAGTAGGAGGCTGAAACAGTAGAATGAATAGACAGATCCCACCCATGCTGATTAGCAAATGGCCATTGCAAAGGTCCCATCTGTATCATCTCCTGCTCTGGCAGTGTTAAAAATTACACATTACAGAGAGCAGTGCTGAATAACAGGCTTAGTTCCCATGGGGTATCCATGGGTGTGCACGTGCAAGTGTGAGCTTTGGGGAAGGTGAAAATCTAGTCAAAAGAAACATCAAAAAATGCTTTGGGCATCTTGCCAGAGCAAACAAAATATTGTGTTGATATAGATCTTTCACTTGCCCTGAAAAGAAAAATTGGCTTTTAGGATTCATAAAGGCAGAAGACTTAGTTTGTAAGTGTAGAAAAACAATAACCTCTGCTACTCAACAGTCCAGATGTTAGAGCACATTCATATTTTGGCTCCTGCCTCTGGCTGAGAAGATTTGAACCTGCATCTCACCCTACTGAGAAAAAGATCATTTCATTCTTGAAGGCAGGCTGAGGTAACAGCACTAGCAATATCTCCTAGCAATGCTGGTTTACTGAGCACAGAAAAACCCACTGGCAAAATGCCTGAAGACATATAGATTCTCAATCAAGTGCTCTAATCACCAGGCTGGAGTCATTCTGCTCTCCTGATCCCTAGCTTCAATAGTATTTACACATGCCAAGCAAAGCATAACTGCTCCAGAAGAGAGAACTGTTTCAAGAGAAACTCTTCTGTTTGTCAACACTAAATGGAAGGTGGAACATTCAGACTTCAAATGCAGCTTTCAGAAGATACAGGCTGCATGTGCAACTTGGGGTGTCACCAGCTCTACTACCTGGTGGCTGATTCACTCTGAAGTCTAACATTGACCAGAGACAATGACAGCAAATTACAAAGCCATCTTGTCTCCATATAACAATTCTTAGATTCTCCTCATGGTTGATACAGTGACGTTGCTAGATTTCCAAGAATGGTAGGTGTTGGAAAGGACCTCTGTGGATCACCTAGTCCAACCGCTCCACTAAGGCAGGTTCACCTAGAGCTGGTTGCACAGGATGGCATCTCCAGGTGGGTTTGGAATCTCTCCAGAGAAGGAGACTGCACAACCTCTCTGGGCAGCTTGTTCCAGGGCTCCATCACCCTCACAGGAAAGAAGTTTCTCCTCATGTTAGGTGGAACTTCCTGTGTTCCAGTTCGTGCCCGTTGCCCCTTGTCCTATCACTGGGCACCACTGAAAAGAGCCTGGCCTCACCCTCTTGACACCAGCTGTTTAGATACTGATAAGCATAAATATGATTCTTTCTCAAGTCTTCCTTTCTCCAGACTAACAGCCCCAGGTGTCTCACCCTCACCTCTTAAGAAAGATGCTCCAGTTCCCTCATCATCTTCGTAGCCCTCCATTGGACTCTCTCCAGTAGTTCCCTGTCTCTCTTGAACTGAGGAGCTCACAACTGGACACAGTTCTCCAGATGTGGCCTCACTGGGGCAAGAGTAGAGAGGCAGGAGAAACTCCTTTAACCTGCTGGTCACACTTGTCTTAATGCATCCCAAGATACCATTGGCCCTTTTGGCCACCAGAGCACACTGCTGGCTCACGGTTCACTTGTTACCCACCAGGACTCCCAGGTCCTTCTCAGTGGAGCTGTGTCAGCCCTTAACCTGCACCGGTGCATGGGGTTACTCCTTCCCAGGTACAGGACTCTACACTTGTCCCTGTTGAACTTTGCTAGGTTGTCCTCCACCCAGTTCTCCGGTCTGTCCAGGTCTCAGTGAATGGCAGCACAGTCTCCTGGTGTGTCAGCCACTCCTCTCAGTTTTGTATCATCATCAAAATTGCTGAGGGTACAAGGTGTCCAATGTCAGGGCTGATTAGAGAGCAGCACACGTCCTCTGACAGTAGTACCTACTGGACTCCTCTTCACAGCAAAGGACAGAGCTATATAACCACCACAGGGAGGAGAGTGATCAGGGTTAAGTGTGTCAGTACACAGACTCCAAGGAATAGAGCAGGCTTTCAAGAACTCAAGACTAATGGAAAAGAACAGAGATAAAAGAAGAGTTAGGCTGGATATTACAAAAAGAAAAATGCTGAGATTGAGTTCAGACAGCAGAGCGGCTTCCTGTGGGAAGAAGTGAAATCTTTATTGCCTCAGGCTACACCAGAAAATGATGCTTTCATACAATACAAACATTCACTAGCCCTGAAGCAGTAGATTAGATGACCTAGTAGGTCTTTTCTCACCTCTAATTTCAGTGATCCCATGAAATTGCTTCAAGAGGATACCAGGTTCTATCTGCTTCGAGACAGCAAGTGCAAGCTCAGAGAGACAATATAGTGGAGTGAATACCAAAACCAAAAATCCATTTTTGCAGTTACAAACTCACCTTAAGCCTTTAAAAGTAAATGAAAAATCAGAAATGTGATGAACATTAATATTACAAGCTGACAAGGGCCAAAAGCAATTAAAAACCTCCCCTAATTTTGCATGCCCATCTCATAATAGCTGTTTCATCATCAAGCCAAGACAGACTTGGAGACATTTGAAGAACTTGATTCTAAATGATAATTAACCTCCTTAACTCTGTTGTTCAATCCCACATACCCTATGCTGCCTTTTAATACACATGACAATGGATGAAAGGGATGAAAGGTACCAAAGAAGGCTACTTACACTTCACTGGTTGAAAGAGATAGACTGAAGTAGCCCACACCTATTACCAGATAAACCACAGCCTTCTTTTGATGAGGCAGCATTTCTTTGTATCAATAATTTGGTGTAAGAAACAGAGATGACTGTGTATTTGTATGGCCTAATGTAGAAATCTGGGGGCAAAAACTGGCAACCCAGTCTCCACATGAGATCCTATAGCAAATGAGTGTCTGCCAGAGCAATCAGTAAGGCTGAGTCAGATGAACCACACACCTCCTTTTAGCTTGCTGTAGAAACCACCTCTTACAGACCTCTTGAATTTTCCAGGAGATCATCTATTTACCATTTGCAGCTTGCACCCACAATAATCTTGTTTGACTAACAGAAATGACATCAGAACCAACTGAAATTAAGAAATGTACAAAAACAAATTCACAAACGGAACTCTTCCATGAGCAAAACTCCACTTTACATCAGGCAGCTTCCTGACTAAACCCTTGAACAAACCAATTGGCTCCACAATGTGAAAGCCAGACTACCTTAGCTCTGTTAGGCCAAGAAAGGGTAGGATAGAGGCTCACAAATAAAAGATTCTCCTGCTTCCAAGTCCCTTTGTAACCTCCTAGAACTCAAATCATTGCAGCTACCAGGTTTGCTCCTGGCAACATCAGCACAATGGACATCCTCCTGCTAAGAGCTCTTCTCCACCCTGCAGCAAGAGAATCTCACCTAACCCAGCACTGATTTCACCCTGTAGCTGGGAAGCTGCACAGGAAGGTTACAGAAACTGCTGAGTGCCATGAATGCTCTCTGGCTCATCCAGAGACACCAGGTGGTGAGATGCTTCAACCTAGCAGAATTTATCTGTTCTGGAGACTGGATTTATCTCCAACAGCTGATCTAGGCATATATTGTTCCATAAAATATAGGCAATAGTAGCAGCTCTTACTTAAACTTTAAAAGTAAACTCCTGGCTTCTTAAGGGAATTTTCTTATTTTGATATTGCCTTCATGTTCTTCTTTTCTCCCACTTCAGTTCAAGTATATCTGACCAAAATCATTTTTACCAAGAAACCCTCACTCTCCTCTTTAGGCCCTTCCAGTTTCTTGTGATTTCAGTGGCTCCACACAATTTCACCCTCACCTCCAGTCTGAAGTATTACATCCTAACTTCCTGCTCCCCCTTTTCCCACTCATGTTCATGATTTCATCCTTGGATTTGGTTTTTTTTTGTTTGGTTGGTTGGGTTTTTTGTGCTTGTGTCTTCCCTCATCTACTCTCTTACCCACAAAAATAATCTCAACATTTACTTAGGCCCAGACATAAGTCATCTACTTTCAGTTGTGAAGCAATCAGATAATTTCTCTATCAAGAAATATCCCCTGCAGAGAAGAATCTTGAAGCTGCTAGAAAAGAAGCCCCTCTCTCTAGTTTCTCAACTGCTTAGACTAAAACTACAGCCCAGATTTTGGAGCCAACTGCATCAGTTTGTACATCCACAGAAGATTGCTGAGCAATAAAGAGAATAAAGATGACAGATGGCTGGGATGAATTAACAGATGAAGAAATTAGAGGTTCCCCAGTTACAGTTTGGGGAAATGGAAACATGCCTCATCACACAGTGGCCTTCTGGACACAAAAAAGGATGCTATCTGAAATTGCTTTACAGCCTGTACTTCAAGTCCTGCAACACTGAAAAGCAGCAGGACAGCTAGAACAGAGAAAGAATGAAATAAGAACAGATGGTGAGCGACTGCAAACTAGTTAAAAAAACATTTTTTTAAGTATAAATCAAACAATACCTGAATTCCTTATGCTGGAGCTGTTCAGTTTGGAATCTTTGATGACCAAGTGCTTAATCCAAAGGGTGGGTGCTGTGATTTCTGAAAAAGAAGAATAAAAAAAGCCTTCAAGAAACTACAGCAACTAGTGAATGCAAATGGCTCTTACTTATGAGGACAATCATACCTTAACTGATCCACCATCTTTGTAGAGATTGGCTCATCCCCTGGTGAGGTCTTCCACCTCTTATGAACCACTATTTGTAAAACTTCCACAAGGTTATCTCATTATCTTCCCATCCCAGGAAGTATGTCTCTGCTGGCAAAACATTTTGTTTCCTCCCCACCACCCTCCACATGCTAAATTCTCAATTCTCAAGCCTTTCTCCTCAAGACTGAGAGATCTCAAAGGTTATGTTGTGTGCTGTAGTAGATATTGCTTTCCACTAAATTATGTATGAAATCCAGATTTTAATAAAGTCATTCCAGACTTTCAATATTGCTTTAACAGTCCAAGGAGAGCTGACCACAGTCAGTCCCCTAAAACAAGCAACAACAAAATCTGAAGTAAATAGGCAGAGAAATTAAGATATATCTGGAAGGACTTGAAAGGAACTCTGTTAAAGAAACAAGTTCTGGTTAGACTAGCATGCCTCATGCACTACAACCAAGACATCCAAATGTAAATTTGTGGGAAAAGAAGTGCTTAGAGCACCTCCCCTGAGGTGTTACAATCAACTTCAAAACACAGCAGAACCTGCCCTAAGCCACAGAAATTACATCATATCAGCATTTGATTAGAATTAAGCAAAGCCATACTTGACACCATGGGCTAGAGCTCTTAAGGTGACATTTTCAGAACAGATATTGTCTTAAAAAAAAATTCAGTTCCACAAGAGCATGCCTTAAATACTAGATCCTCAACTTTGTCTTCAGTTCCTCTAAGAAGTTTTTACAAGGGTTTTCCTGCTCCCTTGTTGACATTTACATGGATCTGCTTCAAGGGAGAAGCTGGCTGGCTACAACAAAAACTGATTATACATTATAAAAGCATGAAGGAAAAATGAAAGTGAATTTTTCCTTGATAAACATTTTCAACAACACTGACTGCAGGCATTATTGTAATCATGGTCAGGGCATTTTTTTTTTCATACGAAAATATAGGTGGAACACTGATATTGCCACAGTGGTGCAGTTTGCTTAGCAGATTGCCTTATCTGCAGGGTTCACTACGTTACTTTAGCATCACCCAGTCATGATGTGCTCCTATAAATACCTATATACTCTGGGTCTTTCTTGGGTAAAAATTACATCAAATTAAGCACTGGGTGAGAGGAAGGAAGGGGAGAAGCACAAAAGTAGAAAAACTTAGTAAAACAAAGTGCTACATCCAAAGCCCTAAATCTGGGATGAAATTTAGCTCTGACTCTGAACGGTATGGACTGGGCATGTCTACAGCTGAAAAAGGAGGGACAACCAAAGTCAACAGATGCCAAAGAATGGGTCAGAGTCTTTAGAGACACAATTGGTGCATATCTTTAAGTAAGGCTGAAAGGTGCAGAAAAAGAAACTGTTGGAAAAGAGGATAAAGAAAAAGAAAAGGAAATTATTCCTTTGGGATCTACTATAAAAACGTATTTTCCATCTGTTTAACCTGGACTCTTTTTTGGAACACAGGTAAGCAACATACATGCCTCTGAACAACAGAAAGAGTAGATTCCCACTGAATTAAGAGGCCAAATTAACCAAAAAGAGAAAATGTTTAAAGAAATTATTCTTTAGGAAATGCATACAACTTGCACATTGAAACTAAATAGAGAATAGATGCAAAAAACCAGCCTAGAAATGCAGGAGGGACTAAAACCTTTTTTTTTAATTTAAAACTATAGCAAGGACCATTAATAAAATACTCTTTTGCAAAGGAGAATCTCGTCCTGAGAGGAGAGATTCACCATAAACATTGCTGAGATCTGCATTGTAATGAAGTGAAATAGTTTTTAAAGAGATGGTTGCTTTATGATTCCAACCTTGGACAGGAGAGTTTAAGTTATCTGATCTCCATTTTCTCTGGCACTGCTCTGTTGTGCCCTCAGGGAGGGTGGTGGGGAGTGGGAGGGAAACTTATGCCTGAAATGTGAATTTCCATTATCCTCTAATGTAGGTGAAAACGTGAGAAAGGTGAAACTTCATCTTGCAGGTGCTGAGGTCCAAGAGGTATCATGCATTTCAAGGACAGCTGAGTATTTTTAATGCCCTTTGAAAAAAAGTCATCCCCTTGTGGATTGAAGATGGGCACCCAAGAACAAAATATGAAAAAAACTTCCACAGTTTTATTGTCAATTCATGTGTCCAGACTTGTGGAGCCTGGCTCTATCATCTTCTTGATAAACCTCCCCGTGGGAGGCTGCTATTAGGTCACCTTTAAGTCCTCTCTGGGTTAAGTGCTTCTTATGCTCTTCCTGACGTCCCCACTTTAAGTCACTTTGGAGACAGTATGCTCAAAGGTAGTGGATTACACAAATTTGTGATCCAGAATGGATTGTCTTCTGCCTACTGCTACAACCATCACTGAAATCTAGTTAGTCCCATTTTACTAACAGATGAGAAAAATATACTGACCAACTTAGCAGAGGTTATTCACTGATGCTTGATTAACCTGCCTGGCATATTGTCTTCTCCCAAGTCATAAGGGACCCTGCTAATACAACAGGAGCCATGGTATGAGTCATTCTCTCTAGAAGTCCAGGAGATAACATCTTGCATAATAAATGGCAAGATTTGTGAGAGGCAATCTTTCCTCCTACAGTCCAAGCCCATTTATCAGACTTGATTTCACCTACAATCTAAAACAAAGGTTTTTGACTGAAATTTTTTTTCCACAGAAGGTTGGGGTTTTTTTCAGACTCTGCCTGTCACCAGAAGAACCAGAAAAGGTTTGCTCACTCTAACATTTCTCAAGAATCCTAGAAGGAGCTTCTGAACAGGCTGTATGAACTGATCAACTCACTCCTGCATTTTACTAGTGCATTCACTCCTTCAAATAGCTACACACACCCTCCCAGGGGAAAACACGAAGGCCAGAAGTATGTGATTACAAACAGCAATTTAATATAACATCAGCTTGCTACCAGGAGAAACTTTCTTTTGATATGAGAGACAGTCAGCATGGCTTCAGTCTCCTTTGTTTATTTGAGAGTGCTTTTTACTCTGAGGGCTTTGCTTTGGTTCTTAAAGTTCATAAGAAGGTTCTTACTATGACCTCTTAATGGAAGTGACAAGACTACAACATCTTGCCATTAAATAAGCTTAATTTAGCTACAAAAAAACCTCCACCCCATCACCTGTTTTCACAAGAAGGCAGGAGGTACTAACAGCACCACCTGCTCTCGTTCAGTAGTCTCCACTTCTGCCTTTGTTCCAGTTTAAAAGAAGTGCCAAGTACAGCAGTTCAGTATGAAAATGCACAGGCTTTTCCTCACTGCATTGTGCTCCACAGCTTCAGGTGGGTCACAGCGTGGTTGGGACTTCAGCCCATTGCTTGACTGTTATGGTTGTGGGTTTAAATCTGCAGAAAACCTGCACTACTTCTAAGCAATACTCAAGATCTGAGCAGCTGCTAATAGGTCCATTCACTACCCAAGGACCACTATCCCCACTGGAATTTATGTTTGTATGTGCAAAAGGCTTGAACTCTGTGATGACAAGGCTTCCAATGGACTACGGTCCCTTATTCCCTCTCCAAAATAATACAATGGCAAGATTAGCCCACTTCAGAAGGAAACTGCCTTGGTGGGCTTGTGAATTAAGTGGGCCCAGGACACTGACTTCATTTGGTTAAACAGTATGTGCGTCAATGAAAGTAATTGCTAAATAAAGAAACCTCCCAGCGATTTTCTTCCAAGTCAACATTCATAAGCTGTGGTTTAGCACTACCCACCCTTTCATGAGGCTATAACATGTTGCAGAGGTTGTGAAACTCCCAGCATTGGCATTGTGAGGTGGAGGGAGCGAGGGGGTAAGGACAGTCTAAAGGAAGTTGCCAATTCTGACTTGATACCTTTTTTTTTTTGCCGTGACACGCTTTCCTCCAAGGTTACTCCCGGAATCTGGTCAAGTGGTGTTATTGTTGGATTCCAGGGAAGAGGGAGGATGTAAATGGATTAGGGAAAATGCCTCAGGTCCCAAGGGCACTGTGAAATTTGGATAACTTATGAGATACGCTGGCTTTTCTGCTTTGCGGGATAAAGAAAGCATTTGAGCCGTAAATTCTTGTAAAGAGAGAGAGGAGTAGCTTTCTGTTGTTGCTCTTTTAAGGGCTGCTCTTACCTTCTCCATCGAAAATGGGCTGGGTTTCCATGGTAGGCGTTGGCTTCGAACCGTCATCTGAATTGAGGGTTAAAAAAAATCGAAAAGAAACTACCATTATTGAGGTAAATACTATCTACTCTCCAGCACTGTTGAATGATTGGGATTTGTACATGGCCCGGCCAAGTCCAGAAGAGAGAGAAGACAGACAGTTTATGCTAACAGCAATAACATTTTACATAGCAAGCATGCATCAAGCACTGGCCTTAGACTCAAGAGAAGCCACCCCACCTTCTTCCCCTCTCCCTCCACAAACCACTGCTGTGCATCACCTGGCAGTCTCCCCTTGTACTCATCAGGCAACCACCTTTTTAGTTTTGGGTGGCTATATATCCCATACAGGCCATTTCCTGAGACAGCAGAGGTCTAGAGATGGCTGTCCCACTAGATCTTTTTCCTTACTCTTTTTGTTCAAAAGAAAAACTCTTCCACTGAAACTTACCTGTGCAGACCTGGCACCACCATTCACTGCAGAGCTGTTAGGGAGGGATGGTCAATAGCAAATCTTTTTTCTTAGAGTGTCTGCATCAAGGTGTTCTCTAATTGCAAGGCTGTGACAGTGTCTTCCAATTGCAAAATTGTGGAAAAAGAACTTCTCTTACATTGTGTTTTTTACAAGCAAGAGTGCTCCATGTCTTCTGACCACAAGTCTTTCATGATTAAAAGCTTCATCCAAAAAGGATTCCACAGGAAATATAAATCTCAGTACTTAGAGATGGACTATGGGGAAAAGTGTTCACTTTACACCATTTGGCTTAGTATGCCTATCCATTGTATCTACAGGTCCAGCTTAGACTCATGCTGAGTCTAATTTTCTCAGTGCCCAGAGGGATCTGGATGTCAAGCCCTAGCTTAGAGCATCTTTGCACAGCACCAGAACAGTGGTGTAGCATTAAGGGCAAAATTTTGACTGTGGGCAAGTGAAGCTGGAACATACTGCAGAAGGAAGTCTTGTTACATTGCAAGATTAGAAAATTGAATACTGTCAGGATGTAAATTAAGGTAAGATTAGCCTGAAGTGGTTTTTTCCCCCCTTTTTATAATACAATGACTTTTGGAACTTACCATTTGTAATAACCCTTTTTTTTTTGCACATATTATGGGCAAAGATGACACTAGGCATTAGTAAAGTGGGCAGTAACCTAAAATGTAAAGTTACACAGCAGAAATCAGTTGGAGTGAGTCCATGCCAGAAAAGCCAGGCTTGCCACCACCTCCATGACTATCAGATGTACAGGGCAGCCAATATCTGGAGGAAAGGTGCATGGGGCAGCCCCTCCTAGAGGCAGCAATAACAGCCCTCAGCCTTCTCCTGTATCCAACTACAAAAGTAAGACGCAATTGGAAGAGGAAAGGAAGGGCAGAGGTGGAAAACAGAGGCTTTTAGACTATTTTTTCCACCCATACCTGTATTTGCAGCTTTACAAAGTCTTCAAAAGCCTGAACGCCTCTTCCACAGATCATTAATTTTATGCATTTCCACAGGAAGAATTCTAATTCACACAGAGCACAAACCAAAAACTGCATTTCAACCTCAGAGATCCACTGAAGTAAAGGAGGTTGACAGAAATGAGCAAGAGAGATCCTGTTGTCATTTTCCCTCTTCGTCACTCTATTTAGTTTTATGCTTAACTACAAGCATAGCAAAAAATATCTGGAAGATAAAATACTTACCATTCCTCAGTCAACTCTCGTTCTGAGTTCTCCTGTTATTGGGTATTATCAGTTACATGGGTAAGCAGTATTTTACTTGAAAAGATTGAGCAACTGATTTCTTGGAAAAATTCCCTGAATTTTGCTTAATTTACAAGAAGGAAGATTTTGCCATTTAAAGAAACCTTTGAATAAAAGTAAATAGTTGATCTTCACTTTTTTTTTGGTCAGAATAGGCTGCTCTGCTTCTGCAAAAGCCCAGAAACCACAGCTATGGCTTGTTATTTATTTAGGATGACACTTCACACTGTGATGAAGCAGTGAGCAGTATGTAATCAGCATGATTAGCTTTACAGATTGAAAAACCAACCCAAAACTGCAGAGGATAACAAGTGGAAAGGTGAATAATTCTCAAGTTAGATAAAATAGGAAGAGACCTGACATAAAAAAACACCTACTAGCATGATAATAAGGTTATTCCTATTGTTCTCATGAATGCTTCTGCACAGAGTAATTACAGGATTGCTTTTCAGACTTAAAGCATCAACCCAGAAGCCAACAATGGAAAAAAATGAGACGTGGATCTGAGCCACAGCACTTTACCCAAACCATTATGTGAACTCTGGCAGAACTTGGGATGCTTCAGGTTCAGGGGCTTTCTTTTGGGCTTCTGTGTGTCTGTGTATGTATATGTGTGTGTGTGTAACAGGGAGAGTAGCAATTACAATTTGGGAAATACTTTCTTCTTAAGGAAAGATAATTTTGTAGCTGTTTATGCATAAAGTCAGCCATTAAGCTACTGGAAAGTATTAACCAGTGACAGAATAAATGCAGCAAATAGACAAAAATACCAAAGTGACCTTTGAACCGAGGGGTTTGTTTAAGATAATCTCAGTAAAATGAGCCTGTGAACTACACAATCATTTCTTCACTGGGTTACTAAGGCCAAACTCACTAAGTCCACACTGTAGCAGCACCCAGTGTAGTATTAAGGGTTCTGCAAACAGAGTGAGGTATAATTACTCCCCTGTCGTTCGAGCGAGTACAGTTCTTTCATCACAAATACAAGGGAAAAAAAAAACAATAGACAAGAGCCCTGTAATTACATTCACCATATTTCAAAATCAAAAGCCAGGGATATTTCTGATTATTTTTTAAAGGTCATGAAACAGTCACATAAAAGACAAAAATTGTACTTTATTAAAAACACCATGCTCACTTCCCAGCTGCCAGCTTCTTACGCTGAAACTACTAAATCTATTTCTTAAACTGGAGAACTCTCAGTAGGTCTCAGTGTTTCAAATTAGCTTATGGCAAGAAGTTTCACTGCTGTTCCCTTTGGGCAGAAGAACAACTCTAATACTTTTCTGCTCTCATTTGATTTTTCCTTTCGCTCGATACACTGTTCATCACACTGAACATTTGTTCCACTGCCCTGTTTGCTCCTGGTAAACAAGGAATAAGTTTTATTTTACATACCTGAAAGTTTTGAACAGACATTTTGTATTCCTTAAAGCAGCACTTTAACACAGAACACAAAACCAAAGCTATTTCAGAGACCTGGGGTCTCTTGTGACATACAAGATGGACAGGATATTGTTACTTTGGAGCCAAAGGTAATGAAGAGCGTTCATCAGGAACAATCTATTTCTTCAAGAAGCTATTAAATTCTACACTTTCAAAAGAGGCAAGTGACTGAAGCCATTCCTCATGCAGAGCACATCACAAACAGAGGGATCAAAGCAGCCAAGCAGAGTGCTCCCTAATCCCTCCAGACAGCAACGCTTCCAGATCAGGAACTCACGTATTGCAGAACCACCAAAGATATTTCCCTTGGTTGCAGAATATTCTCAGGGCCTTGATGAAGAGTGCATTGGCATCCTTCTCCTCCATGTTTTACAAGCCAGCTGGAATAACTGCTCTCATTTTCCAAGACAATCACTGAATACAGACAGCATCACTCACCAGAACACCTCCCCACGGGATGTCATTTTAAAGCCACCACACTCCAGTAAGCCTCCATTTCTTAGGGTACACTTACAAAAGTTGAACTGAGTTTTCTGGCTCAGTTGGTGTCAACTTAAAACCAGCATTTTTACCTTATCACTGGTAAGGGTGAAACAGGCAGGTCCAAACAAACTTCCCTAAGCTATTTTCACATGAAGACACCACAGCTATAAGCCACGAGTGCACTTGCACTATTACCCTACCCTCAGAGGTTCATAAGCTTAAGAACAGTTTTGGTTGCATTAGCCTGAGAACAACTCAAGCCAAGGACAAATACTTGTGTGTTCATATCCACTGCAAGTGGTGGGCAAGAACTCTTTATGCTCCCACCAGGACTCCCCTTTCCCTTATTCTTGCAGGATATCTAGCAAGCATCTGCATCTGGAATGATGGCAGTGTACACTGGGCTTGAAGAACAAGGGGATTCAGTTCACGTGATAGTCAACTGTTAAACTGACCTTTTTAATCAGAATGACAGGCACAGAGGCCATGAGCAACTCAAGTTACGTCAGGAGAAGAGTAAACTCCCTGACATAGAAAAAGCATGAATTATTATGGAAAAATGTGAAGTAACTGCCTGCTGCTGTGAATCACTGTTCTTGCCTCAAGCCACCTAATGGAAGCTGGAGAAAGGGGAAAAGCTGAGTGATAGAATTAACCTCCAATACCACACTTCCTACCCAGGACTGCAAAAGTCATCTGTATACTTGCATCAGCAGGTTAACAGACCAAGACCTGTATTCTTCCTAAGCAACCTCAACCTTTGGTACCTCACTTCTGTGTTCTCACTGGAATCCAAGAGTCACTCTGATCATTTCTACCCTTTTAAAGAGCACTGGTGTTTACAGGGTCAACCATCCAGGCCTTGTACAAAACCTAGCCTTTTTTTGTAAGCATACAGCTTGAATACCAATGGTTCTTCCAAAAAAAAGGCAATTTTAAGTGGATAGCTCTGCCCTGAGGGGAGGCAGCCTTCTCCCAGCGTCAAGGGGTTCCTTCACTCACCATCGTCTGGGTTTGGGTGAGCCCCTACTGAGCATAGCTGAAGCTGAATAGGCAGCTTGAAGCACAGATAGCCAGGACAAGGAGTGAACTCTCAACACATCCTTTTTGATGCAGCAAAGCCCACCTTCAGTGAGCCTGTGAAACCAACATGAAGGCAGGAGAGCGTTTCTAAGCCTGAGAGCTCCAGAGGGATTTAAGTCATACATAAACCTTTCTGTGGCTTTAGTAACTCTGGTCAGATACAACAAAGACCTGCCAGGTCAACTCAAGCTCCCTGTATCTGTGCAGCTCCTAAATCTTGAAGATGTAGCTTTACAACTTTGACATTTCTGTCACCCTTGGGCTTAGAGGTG